GAAATAAAAAGAAAATAATTTTTCAATAATTTAAAACTAAAAACAGGCTGTATCTCAGTCCTTTGTGCTGCTGAACTTCCTAGTGGTCTAGAAACACCAACCCCTTGTTATGTGGCTACTTTCTTTAGTCATTTTAATGACAGGAGGCACAACTATTTAGGGACATTTTGATATAGCTAAAAAGTCTTTAGCATTTTTAGTGCCAAATACTATATAAATTGCCCATCATCATTACCCCGGGTGTGGGAACCAAGGATGAAGTGAGAAATGGTGTTAGGGGATGGAGTCCATCTCGAAGGTGAACTAAAAATAGTTGTCATATGTTTACCACATCTATTCGTCTCCAAAAGGGCCAGCAATTATTCCAAGCCCCAAGCAAAGTAGATCCTCATTCTTTGAAAATTCACTAATAGCTTCAATGTTCTGCTTCTCAAATTATCTGATTTTGCTTTTAAAGTAAAAGAGAAAACTATAGTTTGTGCCTAAATTTCAATAGCAGGCTTCACAAAAAATTCTGAGTTAAATGTAGTCTGTTCAGGAGGTATTTTCTTAGTTCTTTCAATGATATCTAAAAATGATATTAATATGCTAAAACTCCCTTATGATGGTTTCTGAGGCAGCCACCCATGGAAGCCCAACAAGAACTGACAAATTTTAAGAAATACTTCCTTATTTCTGGTTATAATTAGAATGTGTATGCTAAAAAATACAGATAATATAAAAATGAATAAAGCAAAAATTGAAAGCTCCTATAGTTATATGGCATGTGGGGATAGAATAATGACTAAGAACACCTGCAGCACATTTATGTTGATAATAAGAAAGACAGTGGTTTTAGTCTTTGGCTTGTTTCAGTGCAATGAAATGGTTATTGTAGGATGTCTTGATTCATCCTCAAGATAGGGAAGCAAACTCAATGTGTTACGTAGTTCTAGTTGACAGTCTCTAATAAATAAGCTCATCAGGAGGATATGTTTTTTTTCCTGGCACTGAGAGGTTTTTTTGGTTTTTGTTTTTTTTAAAAAATAATAGTGAACAACATAGTAGACCTTATCTTCAAGAATTTTGGTATAGAACTATAGAGGCCTTCTACATATGTTAATTTTATATTGGCCCTATTTTTCTTTTTCAAGCTTTTCCTCCATTCACCTCTCTAAGGTATACATTCTTTTTAGCTTCTTTGTTTTTTTGTTTTGTTTCGTTTTCACACCTCTAGTTATTTCTTCTGTCTCTGTAGGTTCAAACTCTTCCACCTGGCCACTGAATGTTGGAGTTCCTCTGGACCCAGCCCTCGGCCCTCTTTCTTCACTCTATATTTTTTCATGGGCATTCTCTTCTGAGCCCAAAGTTTTAGCAGCCATCAGTATTCCATGGTGTCCAAGTTTATATCTCCAGCTCAGACTTCTTGGACGCATTTCCACATAAATGTTTTAAGGGCCTGTTAGTTGTCAGTCATTATATTAATGTCTCAACTGAATTCATCCTCTTCCCTCAAGACCTGGCTCTCTTCCAGTGATCCCTTTCTCATAAATAGTACTACCCACCATATGCATGTTACATAAGCCAGAAACCTAGACATTTTTCTTGATAGGCCCCCCCTCATCTCCTTCCTCACCCTAAAAGTGACTCTTCTATCACTACCCTAGGCAAAGCTAGTTGTCTTGGACTAGCCACCTAGCTGGTCTCTGTACATTTTCTTAGCTTTATATACTTCCTGTATCCATGCTCTCTCTTCCCATTCCTTCTTGAACCTACTCCAATCAAGTTTTTGCCCTAGCCACTGAAATTTCTCTTGTCAAGGACACTGGTGACTTTTTTATTGGTAGATCTAGTGGTCAAGTCTCACTTCTCTTCTTCTTTAACCAGTTAGCTGAATTTAATCCAGTTGAGCTCCTTTGAAATACTTTCTTCGCTTGGCTGCAAGGATACCACACTTCATTTTCCTTCTGTCCAACTGACTGTTCTTAGTCTGCTTGTTGTTCCTCCATCTTCCTGACCTCTGAATTCAGAGAGTCCAGAACTCATTTTTGGACATCTGTTTAAAGTACACTCAATGCCATAGTGATCCACCCTCATGGCTTTAAATGCATTTTCTCTGATGACTTCTATACCTATAGACCTCTCCTCTGACCTGTAAAGTTGTATATACTCTATGTCTCCACTTGAATGTGTAATAGGCATTTTGCAGGTAACAGGTTCAAAACCATACTTCTGATGAATCTCACTAAACCTGCTATCTCAATGTTCTTCTCCATCCCAGTTAACTGACTCATAATGATGTTAATTAACTTCATTCTTCCAGGTACTCAGGCCGTAAATCTTGGAGTCAACCTTGACTTCTCTTTCTTTTTTATGCTCCACATCCACTTCAGCAACATGTTATTGGCTCCATTTTCAAAGTAAATCAGAATCTAACCACTTTTAAAAGCTGCCACTGGTGCCAAGTTGTTCCATGCCAAAGCCATTCTCACCTGGATTATTAAAGTAGCTTCCCAATCAGTATCCTGCTTCTGTCCTCACCCCATTCAGTCTATTCTTAATGCAGCAGAGTGATTCTCTTAAAATGTACAACAGAGTATGTCACACTTTTCAGCATCCTGTAGTGTTTTCCTATATTAGAATAAAAGCCAAAGGCCTTATAAGGACTACAAAAACCCATCAGAACTGACTGTCATTGCCTCTCTGACCTTTTATTATACTAGTATCTTCACTCTAATCCAGTCACACTGGCCTGCCTTTTGTTTCTCAAACATGTGGGCATAGTCAAGCCTCAAGACCTTTGCACTTGCTGTTCCTTCTGTCTACAGCTCTTTCACTTCAACACCTGCACAGCTTACTTCTTCATCACCTTGAGGTCTTCACTCCCTAGTGAGCCTGTTTAAAACTGTAAATTCTATTCCCTACTACTAACTTATTCCCAGTAGCCTCCATTTTTTGTTTGTATTATTTATCCTTGTATGACTAGTTCCTAGAACTGTGCCTGGCACACAGTGTATATTCAAATGTGTTTGCTGAATATAAACAGGGGACTCAGGTTAGGAGCAAATCATTAAGGACCTTTATATCATGCTAAGGAGAAGGAGTTGAGAAACCAGTAAATAACTCTAGTAAAGAAAGTATTCTGATCAGATGTTCATTTTTATAAGAGTACTAAGGGTCATGAAACAAAAGCAAAAACCCTCAACTTTGTGGAATACGGGTTATTAGAGAGAGATAAAACTAGTCATTATTAAAGTATTCCAGCCAGCAATAGGGAATATGGTTGAATTGACAAGCTTTGGTACCAGCAATAGAGTAGATATAGTGATGGCAAAGAAATATGGCAAAAGGCTGATTTCGGACTTTTTTTATCTGAGTTACTAGGAGAATGAAAGTGCCATTAATCAGAAGAGGGAAGGCAGGAAGAAGGAGAGATAAATCGGTTTAGAACTAGTGAGACCAAGTGGCCTGAGGGGATCCAGTGGCTGTTGAACATAAGATAAGATCTGGACTGGAAACAGATTTCCAAGTCATTAGCACATAACTGAAAAATTTAGACATCTAGTACAGTACCTGTCCAGTAAATTTTAATGCATTTTAATGTTTTATCTGCCTCTCTTGCTATCAACCTGCTATAGTTCTCCAGAGAAAAAAGGGTGTTTTTTAAAACACATATTAGTCCATTTTTTAAAAAGACCTCTTCCTCATAATTCTTTATTTTCACTTAATATCATAACCTTTTCCTACTTGACATCTTGTCTTTTCCTTATCCAGAGGGTAAAAACATGTTTTTTCACGCTCTTTATCTGTCCTTTTTTCAGCCTTGTTACTTTGAGCTATTATTTGAACTATTATTACTTTGAGCTGTTATTTTTAAGGATCCTTATCTTCTGTTTTCCTCTCTCTATATATAGCTAATATGTTCTGCCTTATTTTGCTGGGTATTTTTCTATGTATTCTACAAGTATTATTTAATTTCACAAGTACTATGAAGTAGGAACTGTTAGTATCCAACCCCTTTTTGGGAATGCAGTAACTGGATCCCAGTATCTCACAGCTAGTTAAGTGGTAAAGCAAGATTCTACCTCATTTAGGAACTCTCTTAGGTAAAATGTTCCGGTTCAGTTCTCTCACCTCCTTCAGATATTTATATCAGGTACGAACCTTCTTGTATAGAGCCATTTAGAGCGTTTGATATAAATAGATAAATACATAAATTAGGAAAACAGACTAATATAGACCATAAAAATTGAATTAATATATGTTTCTTAATTTAAATGTATATGTTTGTATATCTCACTTAATGTTTTAAAAAGCAGGTACTCTGATTTTTTACATTCAGTATAGTCCAACATATATTGGACACTAACAAAAGTATAAACACATTATTCAGCAGATTTCCGTAATTGAATGATGGGAAAAAATATGTTCTTCTCTTTTTCCTAGTTGTTTGAGTTAGGTCCTGATGGAGGAGATCATGAAACTGATGGGGACCTTCTTGCCGAGACTGATGTGTTGGCTTATGACTGTGCTGCTAGGTAAATGATATGGTCATTATTCAGTGTAATCCTTACATACTTACGATTTATTATAAGTGAACAAATGTAACTTAAGGAAGTTTTAAATGATCTGCTCTGAATATCAGATTCTTGAGAAATTAAATTATATATTAAGTATCGCTTTTAACAATGCTGCATTAAAACTAATAGTATCCTTCATAATTTTATTTCACAAGATAATTTGAATGTTTCAACATTTAAGATAAAAATGGAAATGTACACATATTTTGCACAGTTTTATTTTCATGCATCTCTTAGAGAACACCAAGTATGCTACTGTTATTGATTGATAGAATTATTTATTCACTGTAGCATTACAAGTAATAAATAATTAGTGTCAAGTAGTCATACTGGGCCATAAATCAGATCACTTGTGTACTCTAATATCACACCAGTAGTATATGCTTGATAATAACACACTTTGGGAGGTGACCATCTTTTCTGAAACTTCTTGGGAATTTACCCGAATCAGTATGTTTATTTATGAAGGTTCATTAAGTAAGAGGAGACTTAGATTTTATCATTCCTCTCTGTAATCTTAACAATTATCTCAACATTGTGCTATCATCAAGATTCCCTGATTTGAATCAGGGAATGTTATGATGAGAAAAAAATATAAACTGAGCTTCGTAATAATAATAATACACTATACTTCCCAACAGTAACTGTGTTAGGAAAATCTTGTGGAATGTGTGTAGGCTTTTGCTAGTGAAAATGTCTATTTTCTGAAATAAGGGTGGTAGTAAGATATTGACTTTGCTTGTATCAGATATATACTTTTAAGAACAAAAGAGTAAATCTAAAGAAAATGTTTACTGTTTCTTCACTTTAAGCATTGGCCAGTATCACAAGATATTTTTCAATAATCTTTAATCTTTTACACAAATAAACATTAAGGAAAATTTCAGGAAAGTTAATTAATTAGTTAATGAATTTTCAGCAAAGCCCTAAGATGCCATTGCCATTTACCATTTTGAGTGTGTGATTATGAGTCAAAAATATGGAATATGGTTTCATTTATAGAGAATCATCTAGATTTTCTTTAGTTGCCTACTAACAAAGCCCAGACTCCTAAAGCATTAGGAGCATTAAAAGACTTCCATAATCTATCACAGCATCTTTTTTGACTTTCTCCCTAATACTCTTCTATAGCTGTTTTAAGCAGTAATGAAACAGGACACCTTGCCATTTCCTGACCCTTTTTTGTACTTTCATACCTCTACTCTTCCCTTCATGACATTTTCCCCCTTCCTGAAATGTCCTTTGTTCTTCCTTCAATTCCAGCTACAGCCGATACACATTTCTTCCACTCTGTTACCTAGAACTTTGTAACTCACTCGTATCCTTCAGCAGATGCCCTCTTTATACATGTCTTTTCTCACTCCCTAAATTAATAAGCATTTTTTGTGTAGTTAATGTGTGACAGGCTCCAAACACTTTACCCGAATTAACTCAGTCCTTGGAACAACTCTATGAGCTAGACATTAATTTTCATCCCAGTTTTCAGATGACAAAACTGAGATACAGAGAGAGTATAGTAACTTGCCCAAGGTCACCAGCTAGCAAGTCACAAAGCTGGACCTTGAACCCAGGCCTCCTGACTCCAAAGCTGTTTCCTTAACATGCTGCCTCTCAAAACACTTTAACTGAATAAATGAACTTTAAAACTGAACTTCCTATCTTTGTTTCCCACAAAATTTGCATATTTTTTACATTGATTTAAAACATTTTCTTATTTTTATATGAAAGTTTTACAACATTTAAACATGTTACAGAATTCAAGAAGAGGGGGTAGAAGTATATTCTATCACCATAGAACAAATAACTTATTTGTGTTCTTGTCCAGACTTTTTCAAAGAGAGGGCTTTTGATGTTGTTTCACAAGAATCTTATAATTAATACAATTAATTTCATGTTTGTGTTTGTAAGGGATTTTTAAAAAATAAATGTGTATAACAGGGAAATACAAAGGCATTATCTATGACTCACTAATTTTTCTCAGAGAAAAATATGCAATGATGTTTGATGAGCCTGTTCTCCTGCAAGCTGGATGGTGGTATGTAGCATGGGCCCGAGTGTCAGGACCCAGCAGTGACTGTGGGTCTCATGGACAAGCATCTATTACCACAGATGATGGGTAAGTGAAACGTTGAGGTATTACTTAAACAACTCTCATTTTTGTTAGTGGAATATTGTTTTGAAAGCTCAAAAGACGTTTAGTACGATAAAAAGCTTAGTAAGATTAGAACATGATATAACTGCTAAAAATTAAATTCATGTGAACTCGTGCCTAATTAAGGTCTAGACAGAACGGGGAGATAATAAGACTACTATGCTCTTGTCAGATGGCATTTGTATGTATTTCTGGGTATTAAATTTTATAAAAACTTTATTATCAAGTTAGAAATTATATGGAGGAAGGTGAAAGGATAGTGAGGAGTTTGGAACCATAAAAAAGAAGTAATTACTTGCTGTTAAATTTGACAGTACACATGAAAACTATTTATAAGTTGTAAAGCTTCAGTGATATGAGATGAAAATGTAGGGAAAATTTGATTAAAAATAAATTTTCTATATAGAGTGCTCTTCGGTTTATAAAATAGTAACTTTGTGAAGCAGTTAAAGCTCCATTTTATACTCAAAGAACTAGAGACGTAAGGTGAAATGATTTGCTTAGAGTCATGGTTACTACATGGCAGAATGAAATCTGGACCTGGAATGTGTTGATTCTAAATCCAGCATTCTTTATGCTCTATTCTGATTTATGTATTTGAAAGGACTATCATTTGTAGTGGAATTTAAGTTATTCTTTATTACTCTTGAGCATAAACTTTTTGAATTGGGTAGAAGTTATATAATAGTATATTTCAGTTTAGTTCAGTTTGTAACAAGCTGACCAAAAAAGGAACAGACTGATTTATGAGGTGAATTGCATGTTGCTAAATATTCAAGGAGATTACTGTAGAAAAATTAAATCTGTTGTATGTATCCCTTTCAATTTACTCTAAGATTATATACTAAAACTGAGGAGTGTGCTTTGACCCTGAATCGTATGATTTTCATATGCAGTTCATTCAAACTTGGAATAGCATGGCACTTTGACACATCTAGTCAAATAGATTTTTTACTGTTCGAAAGTGGAAATCTTTTGTTAAAAGTTTACTACTGTGGTTAAAACTGGAGCTGGAGGGCTGGGAGGGTGGGACAACTAGCTGCTCACTGAGCAGTCCTGATCAAATTCAGTTTCTTCATTTTACTGACTAAGCCATTCAGAGATAGAACTAAAATCAGGGCAGTACCTTTTTGCTTTTCTTTTTTTCTTTAAAGAATGAATCATTTTCATTAACGTAAGATTTAAAAACATGATTGTTAGATTCCTTATTTCCTTTAATGAATCTTGGATTATGTTGTCCTTGGTATCATTTTTATTTTTTCTCTTCTTAGGGTTGTTTTCCAGTTTAAGAGTTCAAAGAAATCAAATAATGGTACAGATGTTAATGCTGGTCAGATACCTCAATTATTATACAGGTATTTAGAATATTTATAGTGAATTAATATGGTTTATTCTTTTGCTATAATGAGGTAGAATCATTACAAAATATACAGCATAATAGGGAGAAATTATTTGAAGCATTCAGCAAATTATACTGATAGAAATATAACTATATTTAACAAAAACATTTAATTTAGTTGATGTTTTGTATATTTTTAAACATTTTCTACATCAGGCTTAATTTTAAACTTTGCCTAATGACTCAGATTATCTGTAGTATGTCAATAACAATATTTTAATTACTTGTTATTTTGATCTATTTCCTTACCAATTTCAGAATGGTATAAACTAATAAAATTTGTCTTAGAAAGATGAAATTATGGGGGTGGCATCTTTAAATGTAAGATATACTATAGTTTTATATTTTTTATTCATCTTGGGATGGAATGAATTGGAAAATGCCTTGCTGTTGATAAATTTCTACCTTTATTTGAAATATCAAGTAATAACTTGCTCATATGATGATATTTATTATACTTTTAACATTATTTAAGAATTTTAAATTACTTCACAGAAATTCAGACATGTAGGGAGGCATATACCTATGTCTGTGCCTATTTCTAGACTACTGCAATAGTTTTAGAATAAAAATTCAAATGGAGATAAACCCTTACTAAATAAGTGTTGTCATTCTTACTTTAGGTAGTAAAAAAGGAAATACCTGCCCCTAGAACAATGATTTTCTATCTCCCATATCTTCCTTTCTAGTAATCACTTAATGAACCTAGATGTTATAAACCTCATTTTTCCTAAGAAGGGATTTTTGTTTTTTTATGCAATATGCAATCTGTTATTGTCTATAATATGTAGATTTATGAACGTAAGTTGCATTAGACTACTCCTGGTACTACTGGTTGAATAACTTGTCAATAGTAGCATCATTTAATAATAGCATTACTAGAGAGCGTAAGTTGTATATGTTCTGTATCTAGTAAGAGGAGAAAGCCTCTACTACTTAGTCTTAACAGAAGTGGGATTTAAAGGAAGTGCTCACATTCTAAAAATTTGTTCAGCATTAAAAAAATGTTTCAGAAGCTCCATATTGGCATTTTACCTGGTGAAAAACTTTAAATGTATAATTTATTTTGCTATTACAGAAATGCATATTTTAAAAAGAAAAATGTCATTGGATCCAACATAACTTTGTGTGTGTCTTCTACCTTCAGACTTCCAACCAGTGATGGAAGCGCTTCAAAAGGCAAACAGCAAACTAGTGAACCTGTACACATTTTAAAGAGATCTTTTGCAAGAACTGTCTCAGTGGTAAGCCATTTTTATAAATTTCAGCTTTTCTATTCAGTGCTCAGTTTCATTTCGATGTTTAGAGTTTTAGTTGTTCTAAGTTTATCTCAGCATAGCTTTATAAACTCAGATTTGGTTTTATATTAGCATTTATATTCTAGGCCAAAGGTAATACATATTTTAAATAATGGAACAATGGAGATGTTGCCTATGATTGTATTAATAACATGCCCAGATGAATTGGCCTTGCTGTTTCTGAAATAAGTGGTGGCTTTTCTAATAAGACATATATGAATGCATATGTTGAAGGGATTAGAAAGTGAAGGAAGAGTTAAGGATAGTGCTGGCCCCATAAGTATTACTTTAATACTTGAGAATACTAAGTAGAAGAGTTGCATATGTAACTAGGAACTTTGTGGAACCACTTGTCATCCCCATTCTATATTTAAAGCTGCAGGATGCTTTTGGGGTTAGCAGTGCTGAATGGAAAGTCAACATGATGTAAGTGAAAGATCTTAGTATGTCTGCTCAGTAAAGTCTGGGTTCTTGCTCTTTCATTCATTAATGGAGGATTCTTATGCAAGTTATCTAAATAAATTTTTTCATAGCAGTATTATGAATTTCTAAGATAAGAGATATAAAAGAGATAAGAGGTATAAAATTATTTTTGAACTGTAAAGCCCTATATGAATGTGATTTGTTAATGTAGCTAGTAGTCTCTTATGTTGGTAAAATACATAGGAAGAATTTTTTTTTATAAGTGTTAAATTTATTTTTTAAAACCACAAAGTTAATACATGTTTCTGGTAGGAATGGGATAGAGCAGGGATAAAACTGTACTAAAAGTTCATTAAAGATTCCCCTGTTATCAAGATATATACCCACTACTAATATTTACATTTTTGTACATATCCTTTCAGACCATTTTTATATGCAAATAAACTTAGTATGTATTATATATACAGTGTTTTATAACATTCTTGGTTTTTTAATGATACTTACAGTCTTCATCTTATTTTTCTTTTGATTTCATAATATACGCCATGGACATCTTTCCCCACCAATACATTTGGCTCATTCTCAATCCTTTCTGTTTGCATACACGGTTTTATGCTAATTTATTCAACCCTATTCCTATCAAAGAACCAGTTTGGTTCTCATTTTTTTTACTATTAATATTACATTTTGTTTCATGATCATCCATACACATGGATGTCTTTGGTATGTACTTATGTACGTATTTCAACTGGCAATGTGCCTGTTTAAATTTTAATATATCTTGTCAAATTGACCTCCCAAAAGAGTCATGGCAGTTTACAGAGAGTGTGCTTTGAATAAGAGACTACAATAACTTTGGCTCCTTAGTATCTTTGCATCCTTTTAGATGCAAGATGAATTTGGTATCTTTTCATCCAAATAAGGATCTTTGATCCAATTAAGGATCTTTGACTCTGTTTTGTCTTTTTCAGTGATCTCCTTTTTCTGTGTGTGGTAACTCTTTTGTGTTTATATCTAAGTTGTTTTGTGGTCATTAGGTTACTGTAATCTTATATAAGAAACTTATGCAATCATTTCTTTTAAAAAGTTATACCATAAACTCTCATTTCTGGTATTACTGTCACCAGAGGTCTTGGATTTGGTAGGAATGGGATGGAGGAATACATGCTTTGATTTGTGATTAATGTAGTATCAGTCATCATGTTAAGTTTGATAAAACCCGCAGACCAGCTAGCACTGCAAAGAAGAGTCCACTACCCTAAACTCATATTCTAGAATTTTTAAAAATCCAAATAAGAATTTTTAAATATTTTCCAGTCAATTTTTATCTTTATTAATTTATCAAGAATTGGCTATAGTTTGTATTATAAATTTTAATACATAGACATGAAATAGATTATTTGATGTTGTCACTGATATTTAATTCTAAAACACTCGCTTTTTACTTTAGTAACTGTATAGAGTTTTTCTTTTTAAGTAAACATGTATTTATAAGTGTTTTTCATTTTTTCCCCCTTATTTATATGATAAACTAGATAGGTTGGTAGGGGGAAACTTAAAAGTATATTTTTAAATAGGTAAATATTGAAAAATGTTGTTTTTAGAAATGCTTAACCATTTTATCTTTTTTGTAACAAACTTCAAAGATACTCTTAATGCTAATTTAATAAATGAACTATAAGAGTGCCGTCTATTTGGGCTACCACAGCTCAGTAAAGAAGTTCAGGATAAAAGTTTCAAAGTTGCATGTCATTATCTTTCCATTCGATTTGACTTATGGTATCATTTGAACTAATTGCTATCTGTTTTTTCATATTCTGGATTAGGAATGTTTTGAGTCATTGTTGAGCATTCTTCACTGGAGCTGGACCACCTTAGTCTTAGGAGTTGAAGAACTTAGAGGATTAAAAGGATTCCAGTTCACAGCTACCCTTCTAGATTTAGAGAGACTGCGCTTTGTGGGTACCTGTTGTCTGAGGTTATTGCGGGTCTATACCTGTGAAATTTACCCAGTGTCAGGTATGATGCATTTTTTAAATGACTAGCGAGAAAACATTTAAGACATTGAAAAGACTTATGTAGAGATAGAAAAGAGCTACCTCTAAGGTGTTTCTAAAATGAGAGGAGAAAGTCATCTTGCTATGAAGCTTGTGTATTTGCTTATAAAGAATAAAGTAGATTATATGTCATTCTGATAACAAAAAGACATAATAGGCTAAAATTAAATACTCTAGTAAAGTGTTATTTTAAACAAACTCTATCAAATAGAAATATTTTGAGCAAGTGATTTGAACTTAAATGCTAAAACCAGGGTTTTTCCATTTAGGTTTAAAAAAGTAATAATTTTGGCCTGTATTTAATCTTTAAGTTGTTTCATTTCTAGGTTGTAAGTACTTGTGATTTTTAGCTATATAGGAAATTATTGAATTATATGTTTTCATACATATTTAGTATTTTACTTTAATTAGCAATCTGCTTTTTTTCGTCAAAGCTACAGGAAAAGCAGTTGTAGAAGAAACTAGCAAATTAGCAGAGTGTATTGGAAAAACTAGAACTTTGTTAAGAAAAATTTTATCAGAAGGAGTTGATCACTGCATGGTGAAGTTGGATAATGATCCTCAAGGATATCTCAGTCAACCATTGAGTCTCCTAGAAGCTGTCCTTCAGGAGTGTCACAATACTTTCACTGCCTGTTTTCATTCTTTCTACCCAACTCCTGCCTTACAGTGGGCGTGCCTTTGCGATCTGCTGAATTGTTTGGATCAGGTAATTTTAGTTTGTAAAATGTTAGTTGAAAACCTGATATGTTGCATAATGTTCTTCAAGAAAATGAATTATATTTGCCCTATCTTTTTAGCATTTATAAATGATAAATTAGGAAATCATTTGGTATATGGGACTTATTACATCATCAAGGTTTAAAAATTTATTTTGTTTTCTGTTTGCTTTATCATTTTTTAGTTATAAAACTGGCAGCCATTTTGTGCAGCTGCTGATTTGCTCTTTGAATCTCTGAGTGAGTGAATGTGTGAGAGAGGGCAAGAACAGTAGTGAGTATGTGAGAGCAAGGACGGCACCCCTGCCACCCCTCCCTCACCTTATCTGCAACAGTGGGAAGGAGAGAGAGCTGAGCGAATGAGCATGTTAGCACCATGCATTCATTCCTGTGGAAACTATAACCTTCATAAATGTGTATACACCAAATCACCAGGTTAAAACACCAGAGGGTGGGTGGGTGTGGTGGTTAGCGCCTGTTGTCCTAGCATTTTGGGAGACCCAGGTGGAAGGATCACTTGAGGCCAGGAGTTTTAGACCAGACAGGGCAACATAGTGAGACCCATCTCTACAAAAAATAGAAAACCTAGCCCATTGTGGTGGTGAATGCTTATAGTCCCAGCTACTCCAGAGGCTGAGGCAGGAGACTCACTTGAGCCCAGGAGTTTGAGGTTGCAGTGAGCTATGATGATGCCACTGCACTCCAGCCTAGGTAACAGAGTGGGACCCTATCTCAAACCCTGTTTCCCACAAAATTCCAGGCCCCGATATTATCATTTACAAATTCTTTTAAACATTTAAGAAATAATATTAATCTTTTATAATTTTTTTTGGAAAATATGTGAGGTGACACTTCCCAGCAATTTCATGAGGTTAGCCTTATCCTCATACCAATACCTAACAAAGACGTTACAAGAAAAAATTACAGATGAATAGCACTCAGAAACAGAAGTTTTGGAAAATCTTATCAAATCAAATCCAACAATATAAATAATATATAATGACCCAGTGGGATTTATCTTAGAAATACTAGGTTAGTTCAACATTTGAAAATCAATGTAATTCATCATATTTACTGAATAAAGAAGGCAAATCATACGATCCTCTCAATAGCTACAGAGAAAACTTTTGACAAAATTAGCAGTTAATAAATGATGAAAATTTCCCAGCAAACTCTGGGATATAAGGAAACTTCCTCAATCTGATGATACCTACAAAAATCCATAGCTATAAATAACATCCTACTTAATAATGAAATATGACTGAATGTTCCCCTAAGTTTGTAAACAAGGGACAAGATATCTGCTCTCCCTGCTTCTATTCAACATTGTACTGGAAGTCCAAACTACCTTCCACCCCCGAAATTCACTCATCACCAGGGCATCCCCAGCAACTTTGGATGCATGTAGCAGGGTAGTGTATTTTACCACTCAATTTCCAGGGGCAAGATTATCGCCTGAAATCGTATAAAAATTAACTACTCTCTCACTGTCAACCTTTCCAGTCTGAAATGGTTGTTTTCCTCCTTTACTACTAAACAGGCTAGGTTTAACACAAGTTACTTTATCATATGGAATGATGCTATGCTTTTGTGCTTGACTTCGTAACACAATTATTTGATGAACTAAGAAATATGACACAATTTTTGTGAATTAGGGTGTCTCATGTTGATAAGTTTTTAATACTTTATTATAAAATTTTATAAGTATACTTCTAATTTTTCTGGATACACTATGGAATGTGATGACATAATTTTGTGACCTTAGTGAAATGTGATTTATAGTAGTGCAGATTTATAATTTGTATCATTATTTGAGAAAAATAGTTTCAGTACTTACTGAAAATACGTTAGACTTATTCTAAATGGGGCCTTTCTGTCATCTTACTTTGAAACAGTGCCAGAGAGGACTGTGATTGGGAGGATATGTAAATATGTAAACTCATTTACTAGAGCATAAGGGGCTGATTTTTCTTGACTCTGCCTAATTTTTTATTTTCATGGAATAGTAATTTAAACAATTGTGTTATAGAGTATTGATATTATTCTGTAACAAGGCAATTTAAATGACTGAGTGACAGAAAATTTTGGTTTAACAGCTTGTCTATAATTCAGAAACTTGGATTATACTGATGCAGTATTTTTTTTGGGGGGGGGCATATTTTTGTCTTTCAAAGGATATCCAAGAAGCAAATTTCAAGACATCGAGTAGCCGACTCCTTGCAGCTGTTATGTCAGCTCTGTGCCATACTTCTGTTAAGCTGACTTCCATCTTCCCTATTGCGTATGATGGAGAAGTACTCCTGCGATCAATTGTTAAACAAGTTAGCACAGAGAATGACTCAACACTAGTTCATCGTTTCCCTCTTTTGGTGGCACATATGGAAAAACTCAGCCAGGTAGGTCTTTTTCTGAAATCTCTTTTATAATGAGGCAATAAAACTGTAACTGGAGACCTGTTTAGCTTGGCATTTGTTTCAGGAAAAACTCCCAAAACCATATTTTTCCCTCTACTCACACACTGCAACAGTCATCAACACGGATGATTTCTGTGATCAAATGTGTGGGGGTATTTTTCCCGTACACCAAGCAACAGACATCACCTGGGTGTTCTCTAATTCAATTCTGACGCTGTCTACCTAGAGATGGCATCAGATCCACAGGGTGAGGGTTCAGTCCCCAAAACTGCCCCCTCTTTCAGATGGCAGTCACAAGTCCAGGCCTCTTGTGGGTTGGGACCATCTCTGGAATAAGGTCTTTTTTTTTTTTTTGTAAATAGAGTCTCGCTCTGTCACCCCAGGTAGAGTGCAGTGTCATCAGTATAACTCGCTGCAACCTCAGACTCCTGGGTTCAAGCAGTCCTCCCACCTCAGCCTCCCGAGTAGCTGGAATTACAAGCGCGTGCCACCATGCCCAGCTAATTTTTCCTATTTTTAGTAGAGTTGGTGTCTAGCTCTTGCTCAGGCTGGTAGAATGAGGGTCTTATGACCCATGATCAGAAAGGTGGGGGAAGAGTAGAGTCCTGCCTTGAGGCGGGTGAAGGTCAGAGATATTGTTTCCCGAGGTCTAACACACCCAACATTATAACAAAAGACTAACAAGGGCTATGGGAGTCAGCCAGCAACTATGGAGGAAAACCTATATATATGTATGTACATATCATAACATCACAGCACTTATTTTCCTATATTGATAAATATATTTACCAAATGATAAACATCTGTTTCATAAGAAGGGCTAAAATTTTTTTTTAATTCTCATATTTACTTATAAAATGAGCAGCGTTTTTTCTGTAATGTTTTATTTTGAATAATTACCTTTAAAAAATCTGAACGTTATGCAGTGAATATATGTTTGTTTTTTGCTGAACGATTTGAAAGTAAGTTGCAGATATCATAAGCAATCTTTTTTATATTCTAATATGGTATTTCAGATTTCTGAGGTAGAATGATAGGAAATAAAGAATTTTTAAAATATCTTCTCAAAAACGTTTTGGTATGTTAAAATGGGCACTGTAAAATAATAAGCATAGGAAACGTTCTTTAATAACTGCTTCTCGTTTATTAAATAGCACTACAGAGAAAAATTAACTTAAGGACACATATGAAACTATCCATATTAATAATTACCAAGTTGATGACTAGAAAAATAGAGTAGTTACCCTAAGTATTGCACAATAACAATTTTCTGTTGGCTAAAGCAACAGAAAAATTATGAAAATTTGAGTAACATACAGAAACAAAAAAGAGTAATAGCAAAATGGGAAGAAAATTTGCAGACAGTTAATATCTTTGCAAGATCCTAATGAAGAAATACTAAAGATAAATCTAGTAGAATAAGCCAGCATGAGAAAAATCTCAGCCTTACTATTAATTAAGTATGAATAAAAGTAATATTGAGGTATCAATTTATTTCTAAAAAATTAGGAAAAAATTTTTTCTTATAAATTCCTATGTTGGTGAGACTGTGAGGAAAAAAACTTGTAGGTTATTCATAGCAGCATATAATTAGTCTAAATAATAATTTTCTTTAAATCTTTTGCAAGTATTTATTGTGTTACCTCCTATTTACCGGGATTTTAATTAGGTATTGTTTGAGACGGGAGTGAGAAAACTAAATACAGCCCTTGAATTAGCGGTCTACAAACTAGCAGATATCTTTACAAGATAAATTGTCAGTTGACAATTATGTGCTATCATTATTTTCACAGGAAACTATTTAAGGGAATATTTGGGAGACTAAAGCTGTATGTTTATTTTATTAAAAGAACATTAGAAACCTTAATTAGAGCCTTAAATGTTCATCATTAAGTGAAACAGCTGAATTTGAGTATATCAACTTGATAGACTGTGATTCAGCCTTTCAATAAATATATTTACATATAGTATCATGGAAATGTTTTAAAATTTTAAAATCAGAACGAGAAGTGTGTGTGTGTGTGTGTGTGTGTATAATAACTGTAAAATATGTATGCAAAAGGCTAGCTATCGATTGGAGGAGAATACTGAGAAATGAAAATAATGCATGAGTAATAAAGTTATAGGTAATCTGGTGTTTTTCTTTTGGAATTTCTTTTAGTGTAATAGTGTTTTTTTAAAAAATATAAAAAAATTTTTTAAATTTTAAAAACATTTTTAGAGGAATACTAATTTAGTGAGTCTCAATAATTAATAATTGCATATTTATGTGTCTATATTAATAATAGTCTATGAAGACATGTTCTGGTTAGTATATATTCTCCCATCCTCTTTTTAATGGATATTATAACATTCTACCATTTCAGGGTAGCATAATCTATTTAATCAATCCTTTATATGTATATATATATTTAGATTATTCACAATATTTCAGTATTTTAAACAATGCTACTGAAAATATCATTGACTAAATTTTCATGCATATTCACAATGGTTTCCCCAGTATAAATCTTCAGGGATAGAAAAATTCTTAAGTCAAAGGAAAGTATGTTAAGGGTTTGTTACAAATTGCCAAAATGCCATTTAGAAAGCTAATATCAGCTTGCATTTCCCACCACTGGTGAATAACAGTACCTTTTTAAAAAGTGTTAGTGGCTGGTGACATATTAAATTTTTTTTTGTCCTCCAACAAAAGCATATTGACAATCTTTCATCTCTATATTATATGGGAAGCTTCCTATATTAGTATTGATAGTTACTAAATAGAAATTAAGTAGGCATAAATAAATAAATACGCTCTACCATTCCTGCTTTCCAAATGAAGTCCCACAAGATTCTTGATTCTGGAGTACAATTGGCGATTGAGTTTTATTAAAAGCTAACTTTCTTAAGATGTTTCAGAAAGTAAAGTTTCTAGAGAATGAAAAGATGTAAGGGATAAAAGAAGTAGAATTTTAACAAAATCAATAATCAATTATTTTAAATCCAGCAAAACTAATTATGTAAGAAATTAACCAAGATATTATAGTAGTCTTATTTAAATAATAGAAATAACTTACAAATGAAAGATTATCTCTAAGTAGTTTTTTGTTTCAGCCTAAGATTGTACGTTAGGAAAAAAGTTGAGAGTGATTTTTGTAATACTACTCATGATAATTTTAACTGAAAAGTTACTTAATTTCCAAATGGATTGAAAGTATACTCATTTACTTATTCGATTTATCTTGAGAAGAGAGCGATTTAACTTTAAGGCCCCTGTCTACCCTGAGATTTTAGGATTTTATGAAATCTATTGAATCTATTACATCTATTGTAGCTTGTAAAGTAATGTGGAATGTAAATATTGTGGAAGAACTTGCTTTCTCAAGGAGTAACAGGTGGTGTTAATAACTGAATCATAGCCAATAGTTCCCCTGATTTCACAGATGAAGTTGAGACACTATGAAAAAACTGGAACTAGATCACAAATTGTTTGATTTTCTGGTACACAGTAAAACTGAAGGCGCATTGGTCACAATGGCCTCCTGATGAAATTGAATGTATAATATTTTGCTCTCTGTCTACAGTAAGCTGAAAGACATAGAGGATGGTAGAGGAGATAAATCATTTTCATGCTGGATTGCATATTGGCTAAATCAATCATCTTTTCCCATTTTTTTCCTGGAAAACATGTATTTTACCTTGAGTCTTTAATGGGACTCTATGATTTCTTTTCTTGAAATTTTTCCATTGATAGGGGTTGAAATTTTCTGATCTCCAATTAGGAAATCAGATATAGTAGAAATTGTAAACTGTATAGCAATCACATGCATATAGAAAAATAATTTTGTTAGAAAATTGATCTGCACAGACTATTTAGAGTTGCTTGACTTCTAAATATACTAGAAATAATTATCTTAGATTAGAATCTTTTCCTATAGAAAAAGCTTTTTAAATGGGAAGAATAGTTTTCTGTCTATCACATAGGATTGTGACTTAAAAAAAGAGAATGTGTGAACATGAATCAAAGCTAATAAAAACAAATGTTGTAAATGTGTGGTACTTTGATACACAGAAACTAATAATTCAGAAAGTAACTTCTAGGTAAAAAGTCGATATGGTGACTCCACATACAACTGGAGAGATTTGCAGAAATAGATTCTGATTCAAGTCTGAAGTTCAAGGGTATCAGGTAGAGAGACAAGGTTTTTCGACTGAGTACTAATGTGAAGGAAAATAAATCAATACCTTAGAACTTTTTCTTCTCTTGTATTATAGAGTGAAGAGAATATCTCAGGGATGACAAGCTTCCGTGAAGTTCTGGAGAAAATGCTGGTTATTGTAGTGCTGCCAGTCAGGAACAGCCTGAGGAGAGAAAATGAACTCTTCTCCTCCCACCTAGTCTCTAACACCTGTGGATTACTGGCCAGTATTGTCAGTGAACTGACAGCATCAGCCCTGGGATCTGAGGTAATAAGTTATATTTTGAGATTGGATAATAAACACATGTTTAAAATTTCCACATAGTTTTTTAATACATATTTTGGCTTAGTAGAAATTAATTTCAAAATGGATCAGCAATCCCACTGTATTCTTTAAAAATAAAATTTCTTCAAACTGAACTTTTTTTTTTTCCTCTCCTTATACCTCTCATCTGCTCTGATTTGCTTCCTCTCCCTGACCAGTGTGCCAGAATTTCACAGTGATATAAAGTACATGTTTTCCTCTTAGACTTGTTTCTCATCTGCCCCATTATACAGCCCCACCACCATGCCCCAGCGAAAGCAAACATAGTTCTCATTGCTGGATGATGAGTAATATTGGTAAAGTCAGGCTACTAATAATGATCCCATGGTGTGGGAAGGTAAAGAGGTTCACATCTTGGCTCTGCTTTGACTGTGGCCTAGGAGGCCACTGAAGCACTTATCAGAAAATTTTTAATTTTTTAAAAATTTATTTTGTTTTCTGTTTGCTTTATCATTTTTTAGTTATAAAACTGGCAGCCATTTTGTGCAGCTGCTGATTTGCTCTTTGAATCT